GGTACACTTTGTTTGGTGGAGGGTTGGGGCTATCAACCTAATTCTAATAGGTATTATATAACAAGTATAACGCTTCATCCACAGGCTCCATGATAAAGTAATCAATCATATCATCGAACGATATATACCCTATTTTAACTGCCTCATATACTTTTATGTATTACTCAAAAACTAAAGACTTTTCTGTTCGGTACAGAAAAATTCAAAGCACACAGTTTACATTAACTTATCGTAAAAAGTTTTTACATCAATACTAAATGGATTTGTTATCGAAAGTAGAATTAATGTGACAGAAACAGGGAGTTTGGTAAAAGTTTCCTTTTCCCTGTGTAAGTTAATGTTTACCTATCTTCCGATATTACTTTTATTGGACAGATTTATAAATATACACAATAGGTGATATCAGGACAACCTTAGGAGTAAAAACCGTTATTTAAAGTTTTTTTTACTCTTATTTTATAGTTAACTAGCTGGCCTGGCGAACATCGTACCGCCTAACAGTCGATTCTTTATTTTTTTTAAATACTTATTCTGCTATTCGGGACACCGGTCTAGCTAGTATTAAGAAAGTTGATAAGACAACACATGTCAAAAAATAAAAATTACCTTCCCGGAACCCCTCCACTAACACTTGAACTTTATGATATGGTATTAAAGTTCAAATTGACTTTTAAGTATTATTACGAATATTTTTTATAGGAATATAGAAGTGTTGTTTTTAGACTTTTTCATTCAATTTTTTTTTATCTCCGTAAGAACCATCCTCGTACCTCAAGGAATATTATAAAAAAATAATTGGCCAAATTGGTCCAGGCGTTGTTGAGCTATGCGCTTACCAACACATTTTGCGATTCATTTTTATATTATAGATTATACATCAACCTCTTGATAAATTTTTATGCCTATTACTAAGTAACTATATAGGGTATATATAATTATCAAATAAAATTACAAAAGAAAACCAGATCAGTCAAGATTTTTCAGTTTTTAATGTATATATCTATATATGTATAAGTGTTGGCTGAATCGGTTTATCAAATGCATTTCAGTCGAAGATTGGATTCCGAAATCTTAAAGTTTAAATCTCGTAATTTTGGTCTAATTATAACTTTATAAGGTATAGACAAGGTATAGTACATTCATAAAGTGTGTTTTTTATGTAATAGGAAGCAAACGGGCAGGAGGCTCACCTGATGTCAAGTGATACCACCGCCCATGGACACTCACACAGCCAGAAGGCTCGCAAGTGCGATGCCGCCCTTTCAAGAATTGGTACGCTCTTTTCTTGAAGGACCCTAAGTCGAATTGGTTTGGAAATACTACAGTAGCCAGCTGGTTCCACATAGTGTCTCATTTAATCACAATATTATCACAGTTTAAGAGAACGAATGCGTACTTTATAAAAAATAAAAACATAAATTGTCTATACAGATGGAAAAATACAAAACATAATAATTACTAAAACGTGGTAATTTGGTTAATAATATTTAGATTTAGGTTAAACTTAACTTAAACTGTATGAAAATTAATGTTCAAAGTTAATACTCGAATAATGAGGAAGCTTACCTTGTTTGAAAGTTGATTTTACTACTTATCTCAAGTAAAGGTTAGAAAGCTTTTATGATTCAAAAAAGAAATGAACAAGTTATAACCAATGTGAGGCCTCGATAAGAGACGACGACGGGAAATTATAACACGATACCGTAAATCTGCAAGTCTTTTCTATACTGCTTGATTTCAGTACTTACGTTAGTATGCACACCACGAAGATAGGACGTACCCGTCCCGTAGAAAGTCGATATTAGTAAGACCAAAATTCCTTTGAAATAACCAAAACCTAATTCAATTTTTCTGCGATAAAACCTGTGCTTATAAATTAGCGTCTATTAAAATACAGAACAGGATAGATGTTGGGTCACGATCCCATCTGATTTTAAATGAGATGTAGCCCATTGGAGGGCACGTCTGTCCAGGAGATGCCTATTTAACCGCTGCTTAAATGGGTGCATTGAACTCTCTAGGGAAAATAGAAGGGGGAAGGAGTTCCATTCCTTTGCTGTTTTTATAAGAAACGACGAACCAAATCGTGCATTGCACCTGGTGAAACTCTAGCATGCTTCTAGATGAGCGTTGTTTGAAAGGGGGTGACGGTAACAAATTATGTAACGTCAAAGTCGTCATGGACAAGTCAATAGTTGTGTACAGGTGTAATTATTGTCTATATAGAAATTTAGTAATTCCATTTGTAATTTTGTCGACGTATCATTATTTCGTAATTCCACTTTCACGTGGATGAGTCAGTCGCCCTAAAACCGCCATGTAAGTCAGAGGAAATTAAGACAGTGAATTCTATTTCGGTTTTCATTTGGTGTACCTCAAACACTAAAGTTGAAAAAAAATGGCAGCAGCTCGCTCATCACGCTACAAGATCTTGAAATATTATTAATTTATATTAGCTACATCTGTGACCTCTTTTGAATTACTCTGACAAAAGTTTTGCCCCAGTTAATGACACCCCGAAAACAGAATTAAAAAGGTTAGGGAAGAGGTTAAAGAAGAACCTTAAAGATAAATGCGAACGAATAGTTCAGCAAGTTGAAGTATGAAATAAAAATTTTGCGGCCTGTGACACCAGGTAGTTACAAAATAAAAGTCTTTAATAAAGTCTCTAATAAATACTATTCGTTACATGTTTATGCACTAATAACTTTTGGTTAATGTTGCCAGACTGAATGACTTGTGTGTTGTAAATCCTTTTGAATCACTGGCAACGATCCAACTCAACAATACGAGGAAAGAAGCGGGACCGCGTTTCCACTAGTCATTAAATGAAATATGTTAACATATTTTTTCGCTATCAAAAGTAATGGCTCAGCCTGCGCGTTGCGCGTCATTGCGATGCACTGCCGCTGTTCAAACCTACGACCTCAGGGATGAAAGTCGAACACTGAAGTTACTTTTACAAATAGTAAATTTTACTTTGTATTAATGTTATGTAATTTTTATTGGCCCCGTGAGACTTTTTGTTTTTGTGAGTGACTGAAAGACCAAGCCATTACGACTTAAAATGAAGCTTATTAAATTCTACAACTTATAGCAATTACGAGTAAATTAATGTAAAAACCGGACAGCTACATTGCCGCGGGGACCAAACTTTTAAATTTGTTTTAGTTTTCTATTTATATTCTATTATTACTATGTAGATAATTATTATTACTTATGTAAATATCTGAGGCCAAGATCTAAAGAGGTTGTAGCGCCACTGATTTTTTAATTTTTTATTACTATGTAGGTTGAGAATATTTTAAATACTGTATATTTGTGTGTAAAAATCTAAACTGTTTCATTTAATAATGTTTTACAATAATAAATAAGTACTTTATATCAAGGAAAATAAAAATGCGTGTGCAATTATTACACAGATATGCAACTAAATTAAATGCAAATGATATCAAAGGACTATACATCCAATTAAGAGAAATATGTTTCTTTGTAATTTTCTTATTTAAATTTTATAAATAAAGGAGTGATTTATGACATCAAAATAATACAACTGTTCATCCTCTGCTTTCTTGGCTTAAAGGTCACGTAAGAAATCACGTCATAAGTCATACCAAGTCTTCAGATCTGCCTTCATAATTTTAGGCTTGACCAGTTCCTATCAGGTCAGGTTATAATTAGTAGGATTTTTCAATTGAGACCTTCGTCTTCAAATAATAAAAAAAAAGGGTGCGTGTACTTATGTACGCGCGTAAGAAGTTATACTTCTTTGGCATTATTAAAAATAGTTTGGCTTTGTTCCACCTCCAGTTTTTGATGTTTCACAGCGATAAGATGACAACTCTTTTTTTTTATTCAATTTAGTGCACTTACACTGATTCATCAATTGTTTTTTGTCTCTTGTCCTTATATTTGCTAGAGAAAAATTACATGTTTTGATTAAACAATGTGGTAATTTTTTTAATCAAAACATTACTCGAAAATAATAATAAAAACTGATAGTTAACCTCAATTGTAATGAAGCACTTAGGAAGGTTGATGAGCACAGTTTTTTCACAAATATTAATTAGTATTGGTTTAAATATTCAATTTAAATCACTTCTGATTATATATAATTCAAAAAGCATTGCTAAATTTCTTTGAAAAAATAATTAAAACTCCTTTATTTGTTTAAAAGGTAAATGACAAATGTCATTATGGTCATTCAAAATTCTTGGCATACGAACTTCACGCATATTCTATTTCTTTTTACTTGTAGATTGTCTTATTCCTATCTCGCTCGCGCACGCTATAATCACACTCCTAATTTTGTGTCACAGGTGCGCGCGCATTGTAAAATTTCACTCTCATAAATTTTTCATAACGCGCCTAAAGAAGTATAACTTCAAAAAATATTCCGATGTTATTAACCTTTCCTTTTTACATCGATTAAAAAGTAATTAAGTTTGCCTGCGGGCAGCTTCTAAGGTTGTAAAGTAAATCCTCACTATAACTATGAGTCTATCCCGAGAAAAGACTAGACAACAAAACAAATTTAATCTCGAAATAAAAACATTAAAAATATTTTTTGCACTTCTCTGTGCTATTCTTAGCTCTCTCTCTTAGCACGGGTTCTCTGGAAGAGATTATTTATAACCGAACTTTTGAATTTTCATAATAAAACCGAAATTTTCTAAGAACTTACTTATTGGGGGAAATGTTTCCAGCACATTAAATCGCAACATACCAGAACTAAGTAACCCTCAATCTATTGCATTGTTTAACTTTAATTGCGTTTTAACTGGAAAATTATTGCCACAACTATGCCTTAAGCATCGGGAGAACGAGTAAGTTTTCCTCAATAAACAAACCCGTAACACGTGCTTTGAGAATAAATTCTATGCTAAAACCCACGTGCTCGAACTCATGAGCTTTTTCGTATATACGTATATACTACTTGCATCACCATCAGACCATCAGTATCCAAACAACATTGAAGGTGCCAAGTTTAATCTATTAAAATGAAATTGTTCAGTTTGCTCACTTTTGTGTTGGCGGTGATTGCCTTGTTCGCGGGATTCACAGATGCAAACCCCAAAGTCAATGTGGACGCAATTAGAAAAGGCGGGAGAGCTATAGTAAGTAATACTCGTAGTTTTAGAAAAAATCTGATGTTTATTTTCATAAAAATATATAGGAATAGAGCCTTATATAAATAAGTCTCACATTGCAAATTTATGCAGATTTAGACAGGTGTTTAAATTTTAATCTACTTCATAAGATACTGTTTATGCACCGGAAAATAAATACCAAAAAGTAAAATTATCGAATCAACCTTTTTGTCAAGTGTCGACATAATCATTTGTAACGAATTTAAGATTTTTTTTTTCAATATTTGATTTTTTTATATCTTTACAGAGAAAAGGCCTCGGTGTCGTTGGAGCAGCAGGCACAGCACACGAAGTGTACGAACAAGTAAAAAATAGAAGACAAGGCTAATTTATTAAATAATCATTTTGTTCATAAGTATTTGATATGCGTACGAAATAAAATATTTCAATACATACAGCTTTTTATTCATTCAATTATTGTGCATATTATTTATAATTAAATTTGGCATTCATTAATTAAAACTGACTGTTTGTTAATATAACTCTTAATGAAGCATTATTCCCACATTTTGTGGTTGATACACATAGGTATAGATTTTACAATTCTACATCTGTTTCGTTGTTTTTTTACGGCAATGTTCCACTTTGTGCTTGATATGTCGATTTTCTAATCTAAGACGTGTTAGTTTCAACTATGTAATTGTTTCGTTACTAAAACAGAAACAGCACTGAATTGGGAAAATATAAAAAATATATCTATATATATATATATGCATCTGCATAAACTGAGTTATTAATAAATATACCTACTTAATTATAAAGTTTTATCCTCGAGATACAATTTATAAATTAATCTTATCCTTTTGCATGTATGAAAGCTTTTATTTGGCTAATTGGTTTATCATTAGGTTTTAAATTATAGTAAATATCATACCTTAATATAGGTTTAACTTTTGTATTCGTCTGTAATGTGACATTAATTTGCAAATATATTTTATTACAGATCTCTGGATTTTTGTTCAATTAATCCATCAAAATTATATTCATAGTAGATTAAAAAATCGGCATTAATTCGTGGGCACTAATAATAATAAAGCCCATTTATTTCCAAATACCTTAAATAACATATTTATTATGTGTATTTTTATATGTTATTGGAACCCCATGTAGGGGGTAAGGGCCTCCTCTAGTTCACTCCATGCTTTTCATTTTTTGTTTTTATTCTGGAGGGTTATGGTCTCTTTCCCCTACGGGGACCAGCCGGATTGGGGGAGTAAGCAGCACCTATTTATTCAGCCCTGCTCTTCCTAATAATTATAATAATTATTATTCTGACTTAGATTCAAGTCTGATCGAAATCTGTGCTAAGCAAAATTATCAGTAGACCATAAGCAGATGCTGTTCGTACTTATAGCATAAATTCATTATGTTTACAAATGATTTAACATCTGATCTAAATTTGTTAACAGAAATTTGAATAACTCCCATCGAAATTCATCTTAATACGTTAGGACACAAACTTTAGGGGTGTCTCAAATCTTTATTTAAAAACTCATTTACCGAGTAATTGTGCAACGTCCTTTTACGACCCTCCAGATTTATTATCATTTTTATCACTGGTAAAATACTTAAAATTTTGCTTAACGTAATAGTTGGGCGACATGGTTCTGAGTAGATTTTATGATGCAACTTAATAGTGCGATTGCTATAACCCGTTTCATATAATACAGTATATGTTAAGCATTATTATTAATATGACAGGCTGATTTTTTTAGGTATTTTTCCTTCGCTAATTGCGCTCAGAGAAAACAAACTATTGGAGGGTAACAAATCAAATTTTAATGTATTTAATCTTGATTTGAAAAAATAAAAAAATAATATTTAACGTTTATGAACATTTAATTTTTATTTACTACAATTAGTTCCCAAATAAAGGGCGTAAACCGGACGAGAAGAACTGGCTAGAAACTCTCCGCTACTCTTTTTAATCGCCAAGGTTCGATGGGACTGCAACTTTTACGCCATGCTTTCTTGACATATTGATACAAAATGTAATAATAATAAAGTAACATACACGTGGCATACAAACACCGACTTACTTCAGATAAGTCATGTAGGCAAAACTCGACGGCTTGTGTCAGGCACAGAGGGCTGATCGGCTTATTGCCTATTAAGGAATATCGAAACAGATATAGAAATCTGAGGCCATGGTTTTGTAGCGCTACTGGATTTAGTATTTTATTCATATAAAAATATAATTCAGCACCCGCTGGCAGTATATAATTATCGAAACTATACGTAATATTTTATAAAAGGTTGAATATATTATTTTGTTTGTAACGTTAGAAATACGTAACAGCTTAAATGCAACAGCATAAAAGTTACAAATAAATAATATTAAATATTGACATTCCTGTCCATTTAAACTCCACATTTAAATGGGGCCACGAGTGATCTTCGTTCCACGACACCAATTATAAACTAATGTGTTCTACAAGTTTTAACAAGAAGCTTTTGATCTTGTAAATGTATTAGGAGGTAATTGATTATGTTTTAACATGAATGTGCAGGTAAAAAATAGCTATATAATTAGCCACTTTCTTAAAGTAATAAAATATCGTATCCCTAACTTTAATAATACCTACTAACTGACGTGAGACCGATCTTAAATTAAATTATAATGATTCATGCGCACTTTTTATTATTAGGTATTAATTTTTTTTTTCATGTGTCCTTTATTAGTTTGTTTTTTGTTCCTGATTAGTTTCTTTTTCTCAACAACTATATGTAATACATGTATTTTTGCACTTCTTGCCTACCTTATGTAATTTAATACTTTTTTTTCTCACAGTGGTTGCCTGGAAGAGATCGCTCGAAAGCGATAAGGCCGCCAGTTGCTCTCCTTTTTATTTAATTATGTCAATTGTACTATATTTATGTATATGCAACGAAGTGTTAATAAATAATAAATAAATATCAAATAGAACTAGTATCTAATATACAGAATCTATTATTAATATAGATTTGAGAACGTTGTAATAAAAACATGGTAAATAATATTAATTATTTATTTTATGAGCTTTAGAATCAATATTATGCTGTTTGGAGCTTTTTCCATTATGAATAGCTTGTTGTAAAACACTCGCTGCTGCTGCTCCTTGAAATATTGTACCCTGTGAAAAAAATATTTTTGAAATTAACTGCAGTTTATTTGGATAACTTTTCCTGTATTTTCAAATTAAATATTTGTAATAGATTTGACCTTGATATTGATGTATAGTCTTAGGATCAATGCCCGGATTATTTATTATACTTATTTCATTAAGATGGAAATGATCACTGAAATCTGTCTGACAATGTACCAAACCTCATTTTGGGATTATCGCCAACTTACCAATCCATTTTTAATCTTAGTAGTCCAAGGCTTTTTTGTTGTTGTACTAGCTGGGTCAATCCCAGGAATCAAAAGTGCGCCACCAAAAACATCTTTAAATGATAATGCTAGCAAAACAAGTATAAGAATATACTTCATTTCGTCGCGACTAAATTAAAATGAGGATAAAAATAAAGCCTCAAGCCTTTTATAACAGGAAAATCTAGCTATATTGTTCGTTCTCAAGGAATGAGAAACACCTCCTCATGCTCATTCTTTTCAAATGCGTCATATTTAATATTCAAGTATTCAAGCTAAAAGATCAACCTCCTCTGTTTCCTCTGTCCAAATGTTTCTCTTGTTTAAACATTTTTTTTATGGAATATATGATACAGATATTATTTATTCCACGTCATTAAATAAGTATCGGTAGACATCCCTACTCAACGGCAAAGAAAACAGAGGCCGAGAGAAAAAGCCGGCGTTAAACTCTGTACTCTTTTAAAATAAAAAGTTTCTCAGGAAAAGGACCTACATAAGTTCATTCCTTCTTGATATGGATTGATAACTAACTCATTGTAAATTATTCAATTCGTTAATACTTTTAACATAAAAACCACACTCAACCACAATACTTGACTTAGTAATTTCAAAAAATTACTGTTGCCCGTGAAAACAAAAAAGCGCAGTTACTAAAACAGGTAACTTTGTTTAATACAACACTCTGTATTGATCAAAACTGCACTTAATTCCCTTGAATAGTTTAATAAGAATACAGATGGCAAGCGAGTGTGGAACAACGGTTAGTCTAGAAGATTTTATATTTTAGGTTTCGTATATATTTTTCCTCTTCACTTGCATGGAGGAAAAATGTTTCAACGCGTACATGTTAAGTTTTATATTTATCCGTTATTAAATATAAATTATTCATTAGATTGAGTTGGGATTTCACAGCACGTGCCACTAATAATAACTATATTTTAATAAGTTAATAAGTGGTTCGGGGAATTCATTGTAATTATAGTTTAAATCGGATTTTAATTAGGAAATAATTAATGAAGAGTTAAGACTGAACAACAAATTATAACTGTATGTATGTACTATAGTCAATATATTGAATAATATATATATTGATTGAGTTTTTTGTATTTGTAACTCAATGATTTGAATAAAAACAAATGTTTAAATAAAAATAAAATTTATTGGAAGCAAAATACTGTCGTCCAAGTTGAATGCATTATGATATATAACTTTTTTCTAAAATATATTAATGTTTTTTCTTCTTGTGATGAAGTGCGCTATAGATGTCGTGTACCGTGCTCGCCACGTTCAATGCTTTGAGTCCATCACCCTGAAAAGATGGAAAGAATAAGAAATTTTAGATATTTTTCATGGTATGTATTCTATATAAGATTATTTCTTAGTTATATAATACTATATTTATTACCGACTTTAATGAAAGGAGAGTGAGGTCAGTGTATTACGTAGTTGGTATACGATTTTCTCTAAACCATATCGTGATAAACAGGTATTCTAACTAAGGGTAAAGACCACTTTCAGATACTTGTGTTTGTATCCATATAATTCTGTAATCATGTTTAAATTCTATTTCATAGCGTGTCAAGTTTTTAATAATTTTGTGTAAAGGACCCAGTCTTATCATATCATGAAGACTTTTGCACAATTGTCTAAACTCCGGACAACCTAAACATGTGACAAGCTGTACTAAAACAACCAATAATAATATAAATATAGGATTTCTTGGCGTAACAACTCTCCTGGAAGTGAACAAAGATCCTTCCATTACGGCTTGTTAGTACTCAACGTAATGTGGTAATGAGAGAAGTAAAGAAAAATAAAACCTCGGTTGCTAATTGTAGACTTATGCAGCGCAGTTTCAATATTTTCATTAATATTTGTTATTGCCTATATCGAATTACAATTTTTAAATCTTATAGAAAAGTCTTACTATTAAATTTTGGGAAGATCAAAACCAGGCAGAGATCCCTAAAGGTATTAATTCCCTTTGCCACAGATAGCTAGACTTTATAGTATATTTTTTATTATTATTAGAGCAATATCAGGCTTCAGCGTGGAACTCTCAACCAGCTTTGATTTAATATTTAGTACATGAGACACAAGAGATCGTGTTTCACCTTTTTTTATTTACATAATTTTATTTAACACCTGTAATAGGCTTTTAAAAGACCTACCTTACCGGCGTGTCGCAGTAGAAACCACTTCTGATATTTATACAATAATTGTGATACAAAAGTGCGTTAAAAATGTTTATTTTAAAAACAATTTAATTGTATGCTGTAATTGTGTTATCAATACGATTGGAAAATTGATACCTAGGTTTTAAAAGTAAAGGTGTTGTTAATTTTAACTGCTAAATTTCTCTTGTTTAATGCGGATATAGCATAACTACACAAGTACATATTTAAAACACTTTTAAACCGTTTTATATTATTAACATTTCTCAAGTCCAGTCTCTCGCTGAACCGCACAGAAACATCGCGTTATGGCGCGTCTAAACGGGCCATGTTTTGCTGCAATTGATGGCTGCACTGTTGGCCACTAATTGCCCGGCCATTACAAAAATATTTTAATGCAGCTGATGGCCGAACAATCTATGGCTGGGCAATGTGTTGCAATATGTCTGCAATAGTATGGCCCATGATGCAGACTCCTAAACGGGCTACACAAACCGGCAACAATGGCTGACGAAATCACACTTGTCGCAGCAGCTTATATTGTTTTAAAAAAGAAACAGAAAAAGAAGAGATTGTGGATTCGACCTTACTTAAATAGGCGTGAATCTGTAGACAATTTGAGTCTAGAAATAAGTCTTGATAATAAATTATTCAAGAACTAGAATGTCAAAAGCAGCCATTTTTACGTAGTAATCTAACGTCAAATACAGCTGATCGCAAAACACAGAATATAGCAACAGGCACACTTCACTCATAGCAAACGTCATGTCGCGTAGAAAAGAATACACTGTGCCATAATGGCGCGTCTAAACGGGCCATGTTTTGCTGCAATTGATGGCTGCAACACTGTGGCCGGCAACATTGCAAACAATAGCAGCCACACTATGCAATATTGCAGTTATGTCCCGGCCATATAGCCAAACATGTTTTGTATAGCCACATATGGCCGATGTTGCCCCGATGGGTGGCCGGACGATCGCTAGGCTATCGAATTCAACTGCAATATTGCACAGCCAGTTCTCTTGTTGTTTCAGTCACTCTCTTTGTTATGGCATAGTGTATCCTTTTCTACGCGACATGACGTTTGCTTTGAGTGAAGTGTGCGTGTTGCTTTATTCTGTGTTTTGCGATCAGCTGTATTTGACGTTAGATTACTACGTAAAAATGACTACTTTTGACATTCTAGTTCTTGAATAATTTATTATCAAGACTTATTTCTAGACTCAAATTGTCTACAGTTTCACGCCTATTTAAGTAAGGTCGAATCCACAATCTCTTCTTTTTCTGTTTCTTTTTTTAAAACAATATAAGCTGCTGCGACAAGTGTGATTTCGTCAGCCATTGTTGCCGGTTTGTGTAGCCCGTTTAGGAGTCTGCATCATGGGCCATACTATTGCAGACATATTGCAACATATTGCCCAGCCATAGATTGTTCGGCCATCAGCTGCATTAAAATATTTTTGTAATGGTCGGGCAATTAGTGGCCAACAGTGCAGCCATCAATTGCAGCAAAACATGGCCCGTTTAGACGCGCCATAACAAAAAGAGTGACTGAAACAACAAGAGAACTGGCTGTGCAATATTGCAGTTGAATTCGACAGCCTAGCGATCGTCCGGCCACCCATCGGGGCAACATCGGCCATATGTGGCTATACAAAACATGTTTGGCTATATGGCCGGGACATTACTGCAATATTGCATAGTGTGGCTGCAATTGTTTGCAATGTTGCCGGCCACAGTGTTGCAGCCATCAATTGCAGCAAAACATGGCCCGTTTAGCCGCGCCATATACAAATAATGTGTTTGTGACATTCTATAGCTATGCAATGTATCTCCAGGAACCAGCTGACAATAGAAGTGTTTCCAAACCGATACGACTTAGGCCTTAAAGAAAAGAGTGTACCTGAAAGGTCGGTAGCCGCCGGCGTTGCTGGAGTCCATGGGTGGCGGTTGTTTAAAGTGACCTGCTTGCTCGTATACCTCATGTCCCATAAAACATCTAGAATTTAAATTCACGGGTCGCTGACCAGATTGGAGTGCCCGATCCGTTAGGAGATTAGCGTCCCCACGCGAAATTACCATTTTAGAGATGAAATCTTGTATGATGAATTTCCTTTTGTAACATATTTGCATAGTCTTAGACAGTCGCGGTAAAGGTCTATTGCAAAATTGTGTAAAATAAACGGACTGTGGGGACGGGGGTGACTGGATGTATGAGGGACTATGACGTCAGATTTCTATCAATTGTATTACATATTATGTGATTCGATTTAACTACTTGTAAGTACTTTTTTTTTAGAACAAACGGGTAGGAGGCTCATCTGATGTTAAGTGATACCGCCGCCCATGGACACTCTCAATGCCAGAGAGCTCGCATATTTGACCTTTTAAGAATTGGTTCGATCTTTTCTAAAGGACCCTAAGTCGAATTGGTTCGGAAATACTTCTGGTTCTACGTACTTGTAGTAGTGGTGTGCGGCAAAAACTGCCTTCAAAGCGCTCAATATACAGGGTGTCCCAAAAGTCGACGTCAAGTCGAAATTTTCTCATAGGTAATACCACACCAGTTATCAGAAAAATAAAAAAATAAAAATAAGTCATGTATTTTTGAAGTTATGGATATTTTTTTGTTATTCCAGAAAATGCACACCATGTGACAGTTTTTTCATTCCTGTTGTTACAAATATTTACTTTTTGCCAATTTTTTTTCTCTTACGTCATCCCGAATAGTGTTTTATGTAACCTATGATCCTAAACTCTGTGCTGATCACTCCAACTTTTAGGAAAATGTCATTTTATACCGTACCAAGTTTTCAAAATTAATTTTCGCACTACTTCAACTGATCGTCCTGAAAAAAAAATATATTACTCCAGTTTGGCAAGTAGCTTTAAAAGCTAGCGCATTTAATAAGGATTCTACAGTGGTATAACACTGAGTCCATTATTTCTTAGATCGGCCATAAGAATTTTTTTTTGTTAAACAAAGTCTGTTTTTAACAATCTCTGAAATTACAACAAATGATTCTAGCGCACCCAAAACGTTCCTAATGACCACAGCGTGGTTTAAATAAGATGGAGAGAGACATTCCATAAAATGTGAGCGAGACAGATAGTGACGCTTATGACATACGGACGCAAATAAGTAAAATAGACAGTTTCTTTTTTATGATTAGATTTATTACTTTTTTTATAAAAGATGTTCAAATTGCCGTCCTTCAGCTGCAATACAGGCTTAAAAAAGATTGTGAAATGAAGCGGGCAAATCGTCCATTATTCACAAATTCTACTGCTTCCGCTATTCTCTGTCTAAGCTCTTCTACATTTTGCATCGACTTGGAATAGACTTTTTCCTTTACTGCTCCCCAGTAAAAAAAATCAAGAGGATTTAAATCGGGTGAGCGGGCGGGCCACGACATTGTACCACCCCGCCCTATCCATCTGTCTGGATACTCCTCGTTAAGGTGGTTTCGAACTAAGCGGCTGTAATGCGCTGGACAACCATCTTGCTGGAACCACATATCTCGTAAAATAGTAAGCGGCACGTCCTCCAGCAAATTGGGCAAATGATTTTGTAAGAAATCTAAATAAATTTCAGCATTTAAAACTTCTGGTAACTCAAAAGGCCCTATGACTTTTCCGTTCAAAATTCCAGTCCACATGTTAACTTTGAAACGGTACTGTGATCTGTCTGGTCTCATCAATCGTGGATTTTCGACGTGCCACTCGTGCAGATTGTGTAGGTTCATGTAGCCGTCTTTTTTAAAAGTTGATTCATCCGACCATAAAAAAATTTCTAAGAATTGTGGGTCTTCTCGGTGTTTTTGAATTATTGTTTGGCAAAAAGCAACCAGAGGTTCATAATCTCGAGGTAATAAGGATTGTACTCGCTGTACATGAAATGGATGGAACTCATTTTTTTGTAGTATTCGGTGAGCTGTACTTTTGGGCACACCTGTGCTGGCCTCAATTCCACGTACCGAACAACTTGGGTCCTCATCAACTGCTTGAAGGACAACTGCCTCGTAGGGTAGTGAAATTCTACCTTCACCGTGCACTTGGTTTGGCAGTCGGCCCTATGAGAACAGTAGACGGTGCACATTGGTAAAAACTCTGTGATCCGGATAGCGATCTGCATTAGGGTATCTCTCGCGATACCGTCTAGTGGCTTCACTGGCATTACATAAACATTCCCCATAAATGAGGTGCATGTTAGCATATTCCTGTGTAGTGTACGTAGCCATGGTATGGTACAAATACACAATAACACGTAAGTCCAGGGAAAAGTAAAGGTCGTAGTAGATCACAAATGTAAAATCCAAATCACAAGCAAACAAGTCCGTAAACGAAGCCAAAGTAGTTAGAACACAAGTTAACACCAGCGAATACGAAAAGATGCGTAGTAAACGAAGGAGCGTTGCGTACTGACCTGTAGTGCGTGTGTCAATAGCAATAAGTAGCGTCACTATCTGTCTCGCTCACACTTTACGCCATCTTATTTAAACCACGCTGTGGTTATTAGGAACGCTTTGGGTACACTAGAATCGTTTTTTGTAATTCCAGATAAATTTTTAAAAACAGACTTTGTTTAAACAAAAATTTTTTTATGGCCGATCTAAGAAATAATGAAGTAAGTGTTACACCACGTTAGAATCCTTATTAAATGCGCGAACTTTTAAAGCTGCTTGCCAAACTGGAGTAGTACATTTTTTTTTCAGGGCGATCAGTTGAACTAGTGCGAAAAATTAATTTTGAAAACTTGGTACGGTATAAAATGACATTTTCCTACAAGTTGGAGTGATCGGCACAGGGTTTAGTATCATAGGTTACATAAAGCACTATTCGGGATGACGTAAGATAAAAAAAATTGGCAAAAAGTAAATATTTGTAACAACAGGAATGAAAAAACTGTCACATGGTGTACATTTTCTGGAATAAAAGGAAAATTTCCATAACTTCAAAAATACATGACTTAATTTTTTTTTTTAATCTTTCTGATAACTGGTGTGGCATTACCTATGAGAAAATTTCGACTTGACGTCGACTTTTGGGACACCCTGTATAAATGATAACGGCAAACATAATATATAAGTTAAATTACGCAAAGTTCAGACGGAAGGTGTATTTCATGTACGTATAATATGTACAGCCTCCAATGTGGTATGTCTAAAGCCAATGATTTATTACCCTAATAATTTCATACACGAAATTCATAAGTTGGTTATGTATACCTAAAACTTAAGACATTTATGTAATTAACTTCTACAGGTCTTTTTGGACAAATTAAAAAAAAAATGTGACAAGCTGCAACCTTTTTAGGTCTGGGCCTCAGATTTCTGTATATGTTTCATGATCAATTGTCAATCGAATAGGCAAGTATGTGATAAGCCTTCCGGTCCTGACCGTCGACGTCGTAAGCGTACGAGCGAGTATTAAATCCGCACATAGAAAGAAAGTCCATTAGTGCACAGTCGGGGATCGAACCTACGACCTCAGGGATAAGGTTCGCACGCTGAAGCCTGCTCAAGTTTACAACACCTGAGCTGATTTTTAACTCAGCATTTAAATTAAATAAAAATATTTGGAAGTAGCTGCCTGTCCACCTATTAATAAATAAATAAAATATGACTATTTATAATATATAAAAAATAAACAAAATTACTTACGACAAGTTTCGCGCCTTTTTTGATAACAGCTGGCGGTATTTTCCCGGGTCTAGCTTCACAGCCAAATATGGCGAAGACACTTAGAACAATTAAGAGAAATATTTTTCTGAAATCCATTATCGCAGTGGGAAATAGATTGCCTGAATGAAGCGCCCGGTGCCCAGTGCTTATATAAATGAGTTTATCTTAGTTTTCTTTGTACTGTGTCTTTGAAGGGGACTCACCGTATCCCGAAGTATTGTCCATCCTAAAGTAGTATATGAGTTAAATAAAAGTGTATAAATTAGCAGAGAATTTGTTTGAACGTTTTTTTTATAAATAGCATAAATTAATACTCAAAATTATTATACTATTTACAGAACTCGACACACTGTGATTTAACCGACACTAGCTAAAACCAAAAATAAGTAATAAAATTTGATTTTTAATCTTTTTACGGGACAAATCGAGCAAATCGATTTGAATAAAGTGCGTCACACATAGACACCTACGCCAGGAGGCTTGCGTGTGTGTTGCCGGGCCATAAGCCTTTTTTTATTTCAATTAACATGCGTGTATACCCACATAAAACAGAACCTGTATAGTTTTACGCCATGAGTAAGATTTTTTTTAATTTATTGAAAATATCAGCAGCTCTTGAACTTGTTATCACACGAGAAGCCGACCCGCGTGACGATTAACCAAACAGGAGATAACAACCACATGTGTAATTAATGATTAATCTGTATAATGTGTACCAATAGTATGCAATACAATGTCAATTGGCACCTTGAGGAAAAGGATTTTTTTTAATATAAAGAGTTCTAAATTAGGTTGACTAAACCTGGGTATCGAACCGGTCAAAAGCTTCCTAATCAACATATACATGGCATAACATGGACAAAAATAAATTAACAATGAACAGCCGAAATAGTCGCAGAAAGGGCAAATAGAGATATTTGGCCAAAAGTTAGAAGAATCAATCAAAATATGGTTAATGGAGGTATAAAAATGGTTTTCAAAAACTATATAACTTAAAATAAATTACATAAAAATAGCCTGTATTCAGTACGTATAATAAGAATTACATTCAGTTAATGTTATTATATTTAATATTACTATATACGACCTCCGATAGAGTAAAGGCATCCTTCAAATTCTTCCAGATTTTGTCTCTCATCTTCGCTATTATTACATATGATTATATACAGTATATATTATATTACTGTATATTTACTGCCAGTGCTTACATCAAAGACGTAGCATGGAGAAGAAAAAGTTACAAATTTTAGTTTGCGAGATAAAGCGATAAACTTAAAAAAATGAATTAAAAAAGGCTTCACTTATTATTATTATATATTGTAGTTTATTTTATAATAAAATGAAATCAGTGGCGCTACAACCTTTTTAGGTCTAGGCCTCTGATTTCTGTATCTGTTT